AGAGAGAGAACAAGAGCATTAGTGGACATCGGAGAAGGTTGAGGAGTTTTGATCTCGGTGTCCGTCTTTGCCGGTGATGGGGTCGGAGTAACAGGTGGTGTCTCCTGCGGCTGAGAGGTTTCCAGTGGTGGCGACATACGGGACAAACTCGGAGCAACTGTGTACTGACGTCGCTTAGATCCCTTGTCCTTGTGCTTCTTATGGCGTTTCTTTGACTTGTCTTTGCTACCAGCCATGGGTGAAAGATGACGGTGGAGAATTTTGAAAACTAGGGTTTGAATCAGAGAAGAGAGAAGTGAAGAGAGAAAAAGATGAAACGAGTAGAGGCAGTGAATGAGAGAGAGAGAGATTGCGTGTAGATCTTAAAAGGAACTGTCATAGATAACTGCAAAAGGCAGTTCTCACATTTCAAGGTAATTGGAGAGAGAAAGTGATTGGGCGGTTTAGGTATCTAAATCCCTTCCAAATCCAAATACAAACACCTCATAACTTCCCACAAAAATAACTTCCCAAATTATTTCGAAATTTAAGTAGGAAAATCAGATCTTATACCATCATATGTACCACACAAAATATATAAGACCCAAATAGTTTAAATTCTCAAAGGAAATCATATGATTTATGCCTAAGGATGAAAGAGAATAAATAAAAGCATGCAAGACACCAAGATCAACAAAATTCATTCCTAGTCACCTGAAGTGAGATTCATGCATAATTAATCCAATACGATATTGTATCACAAACCCACCAAGGAACAAAACAGAGGCGGACTATATATATATATATATATATAGTGCAAATCATATTTCTCCAGAATTCTAACACCAAAAGAACATGAGTTTTATTATTCACTAGGTGTTTCATTTAGTAACAATCACTGCCATAGTGAAAGTCAACCCCACTACTTTACCCAATGATTTTAAGCAACATATTCACATCAAGGCGTTTCACTTAGTAACAATCGCTGCAATAACGAAAGTCAACCCCACTACTTTGCCTTAATGTTCGATGAAGAACCTCCTTTTTATTATTATTATTATTATTATTATTATTTTTAAAACAGTATGCACTACGTTTTTTTTTTTTTTTTTATAATGTTTTTTGATAATGACCACCTTATAACGCCAAGTAAAAACACCACACAATAAAGTGCAGTGGTTGTCAATAACTACCACCCTTCACACGTTTTCTGTCCATGACGCTCTTTTCACAGTCGATCCAAAAGGAAACGAACCATGTGCTAGCTATCGCTCTAGATCATTGTGTGAAGGCAGCTCTTGTTGACAGAAATAAATTTGTACAAAAGGGACAGCGGCGCTTCGTCAGTTGGCCTATAAAACTCCAACAGATGGTGTCGATGAATATCTTAAAATTGCTGAGTCAACGGCCAATGAATGCGTAAAGAGATTCTGTAGTGGAGTCGTTGAAGTTTTCGGAGCACAATATCTGAGATCACCAAATCACGATGATATCGCTAGATTGCTTCATATTGGTGAACAACGTGGTTTTCCAGGTATGTTAGGTAGCTTGGACTGCATGCACTGGGATGGGATAATTGCCCTAAGGCATGGGTTGGTCAATACGCTGGACGTTCCGGAAAGCCAACAATCATTTTGGAAGCTGTGGCAGATTATGATCTATGGATATGACACACATATTTTGGTATGCCAAGTGCGAATAATGACATTAATGTGCTGGAAGAATCACCTCTAATGTCAAATCTTGCTGAAGGTATCGCTCCACCAGCTAATTACACCATTCAAGGTAAACAATTTAATATGGGCTATTATTTAGTAGATGGTATATATCCAAAATGGTCCACTATTGTTCAGTCGTTTGTTGCACCATCAAATCCAATGGAGGAATACTTTCAAATGAGACAAGAGGCATGTAGAAAAGATGTTGAGCGTGCATTTGGAGTTCTGCAAAAAAGGTTTGCAATCGTCGCGGGTCCTGTTCGTTTTTAGAAAAACGAGGTGCTTAATGACATAATGAAAGCATGTATTATTTTGCACAATATGAATGTCGAAGAGCAACGAGATCTTAGTGCACCAATTAGAAATGATGTTCAATTTGGTGCTCCTACGGTTACTCCAGCACCGCGAGATCACGTCTCTTTTCAACAATTTCTTGCTCGACACAAAAGAATCAAGGATAAGACTGCCCACTATGAACTTCGTAATGCATTGGTTGCACATTTGTGGGAAAAATATTCTCATGGCAATAACTAGTGTTGTATTTTGTTTTCTGTAGTTCTTGTTGTATTGAATTCTTCATGTTTGTGTTGATGTTTTTTTTTTTTCAAATTAATGTTTGTGATGAAATCCACGTCGTTTTATGATGCAGTGTGAAATTTTACGATTTTTTATTTAAATTTAGTAATTAATCTTATTAATCGATAACTAATATATATACGTAAATATGTAAATTTTAGCCAGCATAATGCATTAAAATGTAATTTGTAGAGATGACTTAATAAACTAATTAAATTAGAAAAGACTATTCTTGGAATATTCTTTTAGAGGGTAATTATAGAGGGAATGGGTTGGAGTTGTTGGCACAGTTGAAACTGTATAACTAGTGAGATTTTACTGTAGAAACTGTAATTATAGAAATTGTGGTTGGAGATGCTCTTAGTATGTTCCTTATAAAAATTTAAAAATTCGTAAATAATGGCAAAAAAAGCACCGACAAAAAAATATCTATATATATATATAATTGTTGGCTAATAGCATTTAATAAAACATTTAATAAAACCTCATTTCGATTTCCCTCCAAAAACCGTTACAAAATTTATCATTTATACATCTCTCTCTATATTTAATTACTAACAATTAATTTAATAATATTAATTATTGTTTACCATCTTTTTATGTTACAATCTTCTATTATTATTATTATTATTATTATTATTATTATTATTATTATTATTATTATTATTATTATTATTATTAATCCACCATATCTAATTAATGCTAAAATATTTCATTACACTTTTTTTAGGGTTAATTAAGACAAAAACCATTAAACTTTATATTAACGAAGTAATAATTATACTATTTTATTATATCATATAATAGTAATTATTAAAACTAATAACTATAGTTTACACTAAATGATACATGAAAGTTACATAAACATAAAAAATTATTGTAAATTTTCTGCTAAAGTTATTTATTCTAAAATTAATATTATATTTTTTTTTATCTTATTTAGCGATTGTATTTTCAAATAAGTTAATTTATTTTAATGTTATAGTAAAATTCCTTAAAATCGCATAATCAAATTTTATAATAAATTTAATATTTTTAAGCTAATAAATTGCCGATCTCTCAAAATTACATTATTTATTATATTTTATGTAATTAATATAGTGGTTCATATGCAATCAAATAGTTATGTACTATTTATTTTAACCAATGATCAAATTTTAAAACATAATATCATTATCTAATTTATATTTTTATTATTATATGCATAAATATAACTTATAATACTCTATGTTTAAAATATAATATCGTTATATAACTTATAATTTTAATATTATATGCATAAATGTAACTTATAATATTCTATTTAAACTATGCAAATGCACAGGGTCGAATACTAGTTTTATTGAAGTCACCATCAATTTATGTATATAATAAACTTCGAAAGGAAAAAGTTAGGTTTAAGACGAAATATAAAACCATAAAAAACGACAAATAATCAAAAGCTCGTGTACAAATGATCATTTTACTTTTGTCACACAATGTTAGAAAAATTAAAAAAACTCGTAAATAGAGTTAAAAATGCGTCAAATATTTTTTTCTCACCACAATACACCGTCAGTTAGAGTAGATTGCAAACATAGTGTTGACAACCGACCTGATAGCCTAATCAGAGGATGCCGCGTGGAAAATCTACCTTAAAACCCGATTGAGTATCGAAGATTGTAAGAAGAGATCGACTTGGTAGAACTCGACGTGAACTGGAAGAAGAACCGACCTCCTTGACGGGACGAGGACCGACTTCCATGAAGAACCGAGATCATGATTGAATAAGAGACAGATGGGACGCCTTTCAATCAGCCGCCCATACCTTCATCATTACCTGTGGGGGCCACCTGCAGGCTAGATGGCCCTAAATCACATTTAATGCCGCCAAACCAGTCTCAAGAGACGAGTCTGGAATTACTATAAATAACAACATTTATTCTTGTACGAGGATCTTTTTTCGAACGCATTTTATACGGATATTAGACAGCTCGGTTCCACATAAAACCGACCTCTTGTACTAAAAATCCGACTTCAAAATACAAAAAACACAGCTAATTTTCAGCGTTCTATCTACTTAGTTCCTGTGATTATTATTGTTAAATTTTATATAACAACAGTTTGGCGCTAGAGGAAGGGGGGCTCCACAAGTTATTTGGAGTTAATCTTCGATTCATCAAATCTTCCCAGCCACTGTGTTCTAACTTCGAAATTGGGGGTCTTTCGATCATCATTCCCATTCCATTTTTCCTACCAATGCATGTCTCAGTCAGGTGAGGAAGATCAAACCTCGAGAGCCGGCGGCAGTCGTGGGGCCGCCACAACCGCCGGCAGAACCAACGCAATGTCGGACCCAATGGATTTCACTGCTTTATTCTAAAATCCAGAATTGTCAAGGGCTTCTCTGCCCTCATGACCCGAACCATGTCAGAAGCGTCGAAAACGGTGCTAGGACAGTCGATAGCACCAAAGACACCAGCGAAACAAGGCGTCCGACCGACCCAGGATGCAGATGGGCGCGTAGCAGCTTCACACGCGACCTCCCAGCCGCATGACAACCCTTAACAGATGCAAAGGGCGAAAACGGTGGCTCAACCCGTGACGAATCTCCCTGAGATGACCGCTGAAAGTCACTCCGGGCGTCCCTGCAGGCCAACGACTGTTGCACAACCATTATTCCAGCAGCCAGAGAAGCAGACTGACTTGTGCCACCATATTGAAAAAAGTCGCTTCACCAGGTAGGAAATGATAAATCTAGAAGCGGTTGGGAGGTACACCGCCAGCACCGCTCTCCTCCGCTACAGAGGCAGCAAAGTCGACTAAGTCCCCGTCCCCGCCGGCCGGATTGGTTCCGGCGACACAATAGTTAAATGTCCTTTTTTTTGGTACAGTAGTTAAATGTCCTTTGATTCTTCAATTTGCCACATTGCTTCCTTTTTTTTTTTTTTTTTNGTTTTTTTTTTTTTTTTTCATATATATATATACTTAGTAAGTACTAACACATTAGGATTTTGGTCTACCAAGGTGATGAAATAGTAGGATTGAAATTTGAATGTCATACTCACATTTGGTTTACAAAATCATACTAAAATTTTTGTTATGAAATAAATTTTATCCGTGATAATTTGTTTACAATATGTCAGTTATCTATATATATTGAACGAGGATGATCAATAAATCATTTGTGGAAAATTCATAAAAAATTTGGGTCAAAGCATTTGACTTACTTTTTTTGAAAATCCCATTTAAATTCTAATGTTGCAATATTTATTTTTCACGCACATAAAGCCAACAACTTCCCTATTTTTTTTATTTGATTTGTATACCATATATCATAAAATCCGATTTCACCATTTTTCAGATATTTTGTTAGGATATTTTGAGATCCTGATTTTTTGTAATAAAATTAAAAATTCCAGATAAAAGTCTTCTTTGTTTGAAGATCCTGATTTTTGTTCGAATGCTTCATTTGTTGTAATCAATTTGATCAATTTAGATGACACGTGTATAATTAGATATTTATATAATTTGTGCTTAATTATAGAATTATTTTTTCTACAAAGTGAGGTTTTATTCCCTTTTGTAAGATATTAAAAAAATCTTAACAAATAACAAATTTATTATGTTTGGTTGTTGAGAATCTTATGGTTTCTGTATCTTCTAATATTATTTAGAGATGTTAACAATTAAAGAAGCAATGAGAATCCGATTAAATCCAATTATGACTAAATAAATGATGGGCCAATTCTAGCCATTTTAACCATAGGCCAATCCGTGAAAAGAATATTTAGCCTACTAATATTAACTTATTTTTTTTACAAGCGAAATTATATTTTTCTGGTTTAATTTAATAATTTTGAATCTTTTGAAATATGACTTTAAATGCATAGAGTCTTAAATATGAATATTCATAGTTAAAAAAAATATAAATTTACGGGCAATACATTGAAATTTATACATTTAAGTTAAAAACATTAATTTACTTCAATGACCTTTAAAATGACTTGAGCATTAAATTGCACTCAAGATTGGCTTCGTAGTCCAAGTCATAGTTCGGGTCTGAGATCATCCTTAGAGCATCCATAATGTTTTGGGTTGAATCCCAAAAAATTATATGCCACATAAGTAATAAATCCAGTCTAAAAAAATATATATTCTCCAATGCAAATAAAAGTAGACTGGGTCCTGCTGATGTGACAGCCAAAAAAAGAGACCCGGTCTCCCCTTAAGTATATTTTAGACCTAAGTAGAGACATATTCTCTTTGCATTAGAGTGAATTTTTTTAATTCTACATAGTTTTATCCATATCATTCAAGACTTAAGTTTATTTACATGACACATAGCCAAGACTAGACCCAAATGCATTGTAGATGCTCTTAGAGGAAAATTGAAATTTATTAACTTACGAGATAATATTAACTTGGACGTAAATAGAATAGTTAAATATTTATAGTTTATTAAATTACCCAACTATAAATTTTTTGATTTGGATTGTTTATACAAAAATATCATTTTCGGTAATGAAACAATATAAGTTTTATAATTATATTTATTATTCACATAGATTTTTAAATATATGTTAAAAATTTTCCGAAATAATTATTTTATAGAATCACATTGTAGTCAAAATGAATTTTTGAATAAAAATATTTAAAATGACACTTATTTTGAAATGAATATAATGTAATTTATTATCACTTACGAGCACCCTACGAATTGCGTTCTAATTTTAAATAGACATTCTTATGTAATTTTACATAATTTAAGTTTCATACAGCATTTTCAATAAATTTATATAAATAAATCTGTAAATGTATTACATATTGATTCTATATTTGTAATTTATAAAAATTATTTAATGAGTATTTAAAAAAGAAGAAAAAAAAAAATTCTCTTCAACCCCAAAATCCCCTCAACCCTAGTCGCCCAAATTGTGCAGAGCCGTTGCCCCCTTGACGGCGGTCCGGAGCCGTCGGTCGACGGCCTCCACCGCTCACTCAAGTCGGACTTGCGCTCGTCTCCATTCGTTGGCCCTGTTCCAGATCCGTGGGATCGACGAGGTACCCTTTCCCAAGTCGATCGAAGGTGTTTGGCGGCGGTTGCGGTGGTTCGGGTCGCAGTGGCCGCGCTTGGTTGTGGCTTGGTCCGTTGAGGTGTCCCAGGCTGAGACGTTGTCTCCTCGGTCTCACTCCTCTGGCCGTCATCTGTGGCTCTGTCCTTCTGCACCGGCGAAGCAGTGTCTGGGAAGGCGAGCTTCCGTCCTCGATGATCGGCAGCATCGTACGGTGGTAAGGTTTTTTTTTACTGCTTTGGCTCGGTTTCTTTTGCTGCGACAGATGGAGGGCTTCTCGGTGGTCGGCTGAGATCTTTAGTCCTGGGGCTGAGAATCTTGGCCTCCATCTTTTTGGGGATTGAACTGATAAGATGGCTTGGTTGGGACATTTGGACGATGCCTAGCATTGTAGGCTTTTGGCCCCTTCCTCTTCTATTTCGGCTGCCGGGCCGGGTTGGTTGAGGCTACCTAGGAATGCATTGGTAGCATTGGTGTGGAGTCGGTTCGGCTGGGGGTCGGTTGTTCCTACAATTGGGTGGAGTGCGGGCTAAACCCTTGGTTAGTGTTGGATGGCCGAGCAATCGCCTTGCTAGGCCTTATGCAGTGGTGGGCGGAGGTTTGGTTCTCTGAAGCTGGCTTCGGTTTTGGTTTGTTCGGCTGACATTTGGATTCGACTGTTATGGGGGACGTTTTAGTTTGTAGTTAGTATGTCTCGTTCGTGTGGTGTTGTGCTAGTTTTATGTATTAGGTTGTTATTTGTGTTTTGTGTTTTTGGTTTGGGCCGTTGGCCCCTGTTAACCTGGGTGTTACCTTTATTCTCCTGTGGGGAGCCAACACCTAGGCATTCTCTCTGAGGGGAGCTTTTAGTTTTGTGTTTGTGCTTTAGTTGTGTTTTTCTCCCGTGGGGAGCCAGTTTCTAGTTGTTCGGTGTTTGAGTTAGGTTTTCTTCTGGCGTTGCCAGCGATTCTAGGCGGACTTCGGTCTAGCCTCCCAGTTTGTAATTCCGCACTTTTGTGCGCCTTTTATATAATTCTTCTATCGTTTCGGAAAAAAAAAAAGTATTTTTTATTTATAAATACTAATTAATACTTTTTACCAATAAATTGGTACTAGTAATCATTTAACAGCCAAAAAATTTTAGAAGCAAGCATTAAATCTTGAACTACTAACCAATAAAAATGCCCTAATGAAGCCCATCATTAATCTAGGGTTTCGCCTCATTCTCCTTTAAATGCTCTCTTCGTGCAGCCATAACCGCACACCCCCTCACTCTCTAGCCTCTCGATTTTCATCTCATCACCGACGAGGCCACCGGAAAGAAGAAGCTGAAGGAGTGGACGCCTGGTTTAGCAGCCGGGGTAACAACCGCCGCCATTCGCACGGCGCTCAGCCACGTCACTAACCTGATCAACGGTGTCACGAAGGGTTACCGTTACAAGATGCATTTCGTGTACGCTCACACGCGCCGCCTGTTCATCCGATATCTACAAACAACAATCGGGATATACAGATAAACAGGCTCTGTTCCACACGCTCCGCCTGTTCATCGTTTGTTGGAACTGGAAATTTTGGATACCCATTTCAGCGTCCTCTCGCAGCGGGTGCCGACGGTCCTGCCGTACGTGGAGGAGAAGTGTCACATCCGCCAGCACCTGATGCACCTCATCGAGACCTACCCCTCCCTGCAGCCCAAGACCGCCGTCTTCACCCACAACGACGGTCGCACGGTCAACCTCCTCCAGGCCACTGCACCGTCCCAATGTTCTTCCAGGGCGTTACCTACAACATCCCCGTCATCATGTGGTCTGAGGTTGCTAGTATGGCTTCTAGGGCTACACAACATTGCTCATTAAGTTGAGTTGAGGTCTGTTTTATGTAGCCATTTTTCCTTATTTTTTTATGTTGCTGTTTTGGTGTGGTGAAATGGCTAGATAAGTATATTCTCTGTACTTGGGTTAATTTCAGCCTCGTGTATGCATTTTGCAGCCTCTCTTTTGGTATTGGTAGAAAACAGGATTCCCTTCATTGAATTTGTATTGATATGACAAATACTAGAGGTCAATAAATGTTACAGATTATGTTAAGTTGATGTCAAATACATGCAAGCACCTAATGTATCTATTAGTTTTCTGTATTTTACAAATTCTGATTTCACGTTGGTGTTCAATGTTGATAAAATAGAATTTATCTCAATGTTTCTGGTATTTGGGTTCATGAATTGACTTTTTGATTCAATCCAAATTTCCTTGCTTCCACTCTAGAGCCAAGTCATTCCAAAATTTTCTGATATTTATGAAAATCAGATTGAAACCATTGAAAACACTACTGCAATTAGGATGATAGCGAATTCCGCATTTCTTAAAAATCATTAAGGCAGGCTGGCTGGCTTCTTGATGCCTCAAACTATCTTTTAGCACTTTTTAAAAATCAAAGTTAATATGTTATTTGGCAAATTTTAGTTAAAATGATAGTAGATCTATCATAAAGTATTTCCTTTTCTTGTAGAATGTTGATGAATGTTTAATATAGATACCTTCAGTTAAGTTATGTTTGTCTGTTTTAATCGGCTCGTTGAGTAATTCTTTTAAATTATTTGACATTCAGTCTATCATGATTTCAAATCTGACGCTATGTTATATGTTTTTGTACATATGTCCAGTCTATACGGATGAACTAATCCAAACAACTGAAATCAACTCAGCAAACCACATTTAACATAGACATGTATCGATTTTTGTAAGGACAGTAATTATTCTTGATGTAGAAACAGAGTACTATAACATATAAGTTCAAAATTAACTATATACTTTTGTTAATCATACTAACTATGATATATTTTGCATGAATTGTGTCCAAGAACCATATGCTACAACCTTGCAGTCATCGCCATGCTAGAGGATGAATTAAGTGAAGGATAAAAAAATGACATAGGTACATTAATTAGTTTTTTCTTTATCAATGAAAATTATGGATCTAATGGGTCGGATGCATTTCCATGTATACTTATGATTCAACTTATCCTTATAATGTCTCGACAGGGTCAGCGGCTAGATGTGGATCTTTTATGACCATGATGGTCCCGGGCGGCTCTTGGAAGGTGTTGCAGCGTCAGAGGCTCGTTTCACTGCCGACATCGCAACTGTAAGTATAGCCCTGTTATTTTATATAATATATTCTTATATAAATTGCATGGTCCTTGACATAGCTTCACAAGTATTCTCTTTGTGGTGTCTTTCCTTTTGATAATGTGAATGTGGTTCATAAAGAAAATATAGTCCGGGGATGGATTGTTCACATAATCACATTGATGCTCGGAATATTAGTTGCCCATGTGGTTTGACAAGTTATTTGTACCAAACTTGTCCTTTTTTTTTAAAGTATTGATAAGTATTACAATTTAAAAGGTTTTAACTTCAAAATTCACTGACTTCCATGCAATTGTTGACTACCTGCAATGTGCAAGCTCCTCTTAGTTATTTGGCAGCCTTCTAAGTAATTGAAGGATGCTTTGGTGTGGTTTGCTGTCATTAGCTTTGAGCAAGGGGACATATATGATGGCAATTGAAATGCTCTATCTTTCTCAAATATGAATTTGAGTAGCAGTCATTTGTCGAAAATTGTTCTTAAAAAGATATTTCAATTTATTCAGGAACATCTTCTGTATTTTTATGAGATTGATATCTGCTTTATGTTTAAATTATTTTTTGACTTGATAGGTAACCAAACTCTTGGATTTTTAAATAGAAAGTTTTGAGGAATGGTCCAAGAAGGCAGGAGAGCTTGAGGGTAGACGTGACCAACTGCCGGGTCACGGCCCGGCCTGGCCCACCTGGTCGGCGGGCCTCAAATATTGGGACCCGTAACTGGCCCGGCCCGGTGGTTCGTTGAACCGTCATTTTTTTTTAAAATATATTAAAAAAGCAACTATGACCCGTCGGAAAACTCGGAACCGGCCCGGAATGACGGGTAAAAAATGAATAAAAAGCGACCCTTAGGGCGTTCCGGGTCATAACCCGGCTTATACGGGCCGGTCCGGGCCAGTTTTGGTACCTACCCCATCAGGAAGACCTTAACATGGCCGGTTCGGCGGCCGGGTTGGGCCGTGGCCACCTCTACTTGAGGGAGTGATCAAAACTTTGCAAGTGAGTGCGAGTTGTAGTTCTATTTTATCCAAAAAATGCACATATGCTGAAGCTTTAATTAAAAGAGGCATTAACTTGCTTTTTCATTATGCTGGATTCTCTTGGAATGTAGTAAATGTCATATTTCTATGTCTGACAGATTCATTTAAATGAAGTTGAAAGTGAATACCAAAGTAAGCTTCAAAAGGAAGTCTGCAAGGAAAGAAGTGGATGAGGTATTTACTATATTGCGTTCAGTTTTCTTGGGAATCCAAAATATCTTTGTTAATACTCTGCATCAGTGAAAAGAGTGTCCTATTATCTGAGAATGTTCACACTTTATATTTTCATGCATCCTTTGAATAATTTTAGAATGATAACTGTTACTTTATACTTTCAATTTGGTTTTCTGTTCCACTGCACTTGTCGAAGTTTCAGCTTGTCTTCCTATGATCAAAATATAACGTATATCATTGGATAAGACTTGTATTATAATGTCATGATCACAACAAATGAATCTAGAAATCCTCATATCACCAAACTTATTCAATATCATGATCAAAACAGGGATTAATGAGGTTCTTTAAATTTTATTAGTAATTTTGTAAACTCTTGTAGCTCTTGCCACCTTGACTACAAAACACTTTCATATGTTGAATGGTTGAATAGTTGCTGCTAACTAACATGATTTGCTATCTTCTCGTGAATGGTAATTTATCAGTCGATGACATGACTGGATCCGGCTGCTCCTTTCGGGACACGATCACTTGCAAAAAAAGGCGCCACCTTGCCAGGTAGGGCCGATCCTGTGGTTCCATAGCGATCTCCGATGACAAAAAGGTAAAGGTGAGTTTCTCGAAGTACTTATTTTTATATTCTTTCCATTGCAAAAATCAAAATATACAATTTAATCACCAAGTACTTATTTATAATGTTTTTTTTTTTTTTTTTTCAAAACGATAGGAAAATCTCATTAGATGAAGGAAAATGTTCAAGTACAAAAGAAGCATGACGCTTATGCCGAAGGCTATGCCAGGGAGCACCACCACATGTGGTGGGCTAAATACAATAAA